CACAGTCAGTATCCAGAATTATTCTAACTGATGATATTGACTTTCTCCAGGATCTGTTTCCATAGCTGTAGTCAGTCTGATTCCTATACATATTATCTGGTGAAGTTCACATGAATACAGTCATGGTTTACTTTTTTTTTTTTTTTGGTTTACTTTTTTTTTAAAGTGATTGCAGTTAGTAAGCCATTAGTCATATAAAATTCTGCTATCATATCTCTAGCCTTGTGTCTATCACTAAGGAGAAATTTTCCAACCAGCAAACATTCTTGTTTTTAACTTTTGCAATTCAAATCACCAGTATTTATTAATGCATTCTGATTGTATATTTCCCTAATTTAAAACTGCAAAATTTGGAAGAAATTCTCAATTGCTTCATCTTGGGTTTTTCTGGCTCATGCATGCCTTCCTTTTCTGTGCATCCCAGGGCCTCCTTTCCTGACACTCTGGCAGCTTTTGTTCTGCTGCTGTTGATAGTTTTCAGAGGCCCATAATTTCAGAGGTGTACAGTGAGTCTTGTTTTCTAGTCTGTGTTAGCAGAAACTCCCCTAAAATTTATGCATCATGAGTGACCCTGCTGATTCCTGAAATACCAACCACTTGGCTTCCAGCATCAGAGCAGTAACAAAGTCACGACAGACAGGTGGTGAAGGAGTGTTATACTTCAGTGGAAAAATCCAAAAAAGTCTAGGCCTTTGTTTTTTACTCTATCATTATAAAACTACATGTAGATTAATTAGATTATTAAAAGCCTGTGCTGAAAACTTCAGGAAGAGGAGAAAGAGAAGTCTGCACTAAATAAGAAAATTAACCATAATCTACTAATAATTGACGGAAATGTCCTTGAGGGGCAAGCTGTGCTCAGAGAATGTTGCTATGGAGCAAGTCCCGTCCCAGTGCTTTCAGCATTTCACATTCCACACTGGCTATCAGGTGACAGTGAACATAAGGGCAACCACCAAACCTGTGTGGATATCACTCAGTTAGTAAAGTGTTCACCCCAGTTGCTTAGGAAGGCGTGTCCGGCCAACTGGTCCATGCAGAAAGCCAAGTGGCCTACTTCAGGCCTTAGTTAAAGTGTTGGAAGCGAAAGCTAGCCTCCTAGATTGGAAATCTTTTTTGTTTTTTCATTTACTGGCTTTTTTTCCAGCTAATTTCTTTTAAAAAATTGTTATAACTTTTGATATGAATTCTAATACAAAACAGCAATAATAGTTACCCATGGTGGACAGTGTTTGGTGGAGCTCCCTGAATAAAACAAGCTTGGAAGCAGAAGTGGCATCCACTTCTTAAATAGCTTGCCCCCAGAAACCCTATGCACTTAGAGAAACGATGAAAGTTATACAAGTGTTCAGGCCTTTTATTCATAGGGTCGCTATCAGTCATCTACAACTTGATAGTACTTAACAACAACAATACACCAAAATACCTCAAAAACTCATTTTCCCCTAGTCAATTCTGATTCATAGCAACTGTACATGTCAGATTAGAACTACGCCATTGGGTTTCCAAGGCTGTTTGATAATAGCCAAGCACCAAACTACAGCACCAGCTTGAGCTCTGATATGTTGCTGATGTTGTTTGGTGTGATCAAGTCAACTAAGAACAACAGATCTAAAGGGGATCTTGTGCCATCCTCATGATAAACTGCCAAGAGAACAAACAAGTCTGTGCTGGAGGAAGTGCAACCAGGGTACTCCTGAGAGGAAGGATGATGACACTTCATCTCACACACTTTGGGGCATATTGTCAGCTGGGGCCAACAAAGGAAAAAAGCTCTGGCATAGAATTATATAAATCTAGGTCAATTTCTTCTACATAAAATAATGCAAACTCATTGCCATTCAGTCAGAACCAACTGACAGCTGAAGGTTCAGCAGGTTTTCAGAGGTGCTAAATCTCAAGGGAGGAGACTGCCCATCTTTCTTTCAAAGAGTAGCCAAAGGATTCCAACTATCCACCTTTGGGTTGAACAGTACAACTACCTACTGACTAGGCCACCAGAGAGTCCAACAGTAAGTTAAAAGGAAGCAGAACAAAATGAACCTTATGATTTCCTCCAGGGAACTCTCGTCGGCGAATGTGTCAAGAGTTGTGCTGCCAAACCAAAGGAAACAATTCCATCAGCTCCTCCAACAGAAAAAGAAAGGCAGTCTCTCCCATGCAATTTATAGCCTCAGAAAACCTAGTGGAGAGTCAACTCTGAGTTGGTTCAGACTCAACAGCAATGACTTGGGTTCTTATAGCTCCTTCCAGCCTTTAAGTACTATACATTCTAAGTATATAATACCAATCCTGAAGATTTACACTGTACATTTTAATGGCAATTTCAAACAATAGCATCTTTTCAAAACATCTCTTTCTTACTCTTCCTCATAATGTTATCACCTTAGCTGAAAGCTCCTTTTCAGCCATCTGGATTTTTGCAACAGTGGTAAAATTATATTGCAGTCCTACTCTCACCTTTAATATGTTGACATTTATGTTGTATTATGTTGTAATTTCTTTCACTGGTTCTTAGCCTAGGATTAAAGGAACTCTCTACAATCTTGTCCCAATTTATCTTTCTAACTTTCTTTCCAACTCCTTTCTTGTTATGTGTACAATAGAGTCAGAACTGACCTAAAGCTGGCCCTTCAGCGGGTCTTCAGAGGCAGTTAATCTCATGGGAGGCAATAGCCCATCCTTCTCCTGTGAAGGAGCTGGTGGATTCGAACCAACTGCCTTCAAGAGTACAGTGTAGTTTCTTGTCACTACACCACATACTTTCATTTCAGCAAACCTGCCAGTCAGTAGCTGTTTACACCTGCAAATTTTCTTATGTCACTTTCCCTGCTTGAAATACTCTCTGCCACTCTCACTTTTCAAGAGTGAGTTTAAATCTCATTTCTGCTACAAAGCCTTTTTTTAATCACCTTCTTTAAATCCCTGGGGCACTTTGGCCTGCAATACACCTGTGGCATTTAGTATATGCTAGCTTCTACTGAGTATTTCTTACAAGTGAGGATAGACTTCATCTCACATACTGTGGGCATGTTTATGGAAGGATCAGTCTCTGAGTCAGCAAAAAAGAGGCAGACTCTCAACAACACAGACTGACACAGTAGCTCCAACAGTGAGCTCAAAGGAACAACTGTGAAGATGGTGAACGCAGGACCATGCAGTGTTTTACTGTGTTAATACACAGGGAAACCTGGAGTTGGGACCAACTCAAAGGCATCCAAAAATCCTCCACTAAGAGATCTGTGGTGGTACCTCTACCTCATTTACTCTAAGTAATCGTTTCATTTGTACCATGGAGTGAATAATACAGACTACAGTTAATTATTAGAAACTTTACATTAACTTATCCTATTCTTGCCAAAAAAAAAACCATTTTTTTTTAATTGTATTCGTTTCCTCCAAGGAGTAGCCTCATTTAACCCTCTCCAGGGTGAACTTCTTCTCTTAGCAGTCCATGGTATATTCAATACTTTTCTCCAACACCACAGCTCAAAAGCACCAACTCTCCTTCTATCCTTCCTAGTCATTGTCCAGCTCTCTGATGCATAACCAAGTGACTGCAAAGACCATGGCCTATAGGTCCATCCTGGAAAGGGTTAAACCAGGCTGCTCCCTGGAGGCAAGGATTCTGAAGCTTTGTCTGACATACTTTGGACATGTTGCAAAAAGGGACCAGTCCTTAGAGTGGGACGTCATGCTTGGGAGGGTAGAGGGACAGCACAGGAGAGGAAGACCCTGGATGAGATGCTTGATTCAGTGACTGAGATAAATGGGGGTTGGTGTATCAGAGAAAATAAGATTGGCACAGGACAGAGCAGGGTTTAGGGCTGTTGTAGGTAGGGTCACTATGAGTTGCAGGTGACTCAATGGCATCTAACAACAACATACTAGTTTATTTACAAAATTCAAATACATTGATTTTAATATCAGATTCTTCCAATTTCCCTCATCCCCCCATCAAATTGTAAAACAACATGATTAATGCCAATAATATTTTTATAGCCACATTCTAAATTTAAAATAATTAATTAGATTTGAGTTAATACTTTCATTTAACATTTCTCTTTTAAGATAAATATTCAAGATTAAAAATAAGTCACCAAAACTCTAAAGAGAGAAAGGGAAAAAAAGATTGTAACAGACATTCTTGTAAAATTTAAAATAAATTAAAAAAATCTGTTGTCAAGGATCTCTCCCAAGTGCTAGAGAGCAAGGATGTCAGTTTTAAAAGTATGGTACACCTGATCCAAGTAGAGTCATTACAACCGCTTCCCATGCATCAAAAAGTTGGATGATGAATAAAGATGGAAGAAGAGGGGGAAAATACACAGAAAAACAAAACTGAAAAAATAACTTCGGTCAGCAATAAAATGTCTTACAAAGCAGGCAATGTAACAATTTTTTTTCATTTAGAAAAGAAGGATAATATTTTTAGTCAAAACCATTTAATAAACGGTACATTTCTTTCTCCATTAACCATGCAATACATACACATACTTTCACACAGAGTTCATCTGCTCTGACAAGTACCACCACTCCTTCCCCCAGTGGTGAATACTACTGTATTAATTCCAGAAACATTTTATTTCAACTACACAAAGTTTTTAACTTTGCCTCATAAAGAACATTTAATCTGGTCTTTTGCTGAAAGCATACTGAAATTGGCAAAGTACTGATACAAACAAGTCCAAATTTGCCACTTTTCACATCCATACACACACAGACTTCTTGAAGAGCCAAGAAATACTTTCCAAACAAGTTCTACGATGAAGTTCTGGTAAACATTAGAAAAATTACTGCAGACATAAAATTCTAAATTGAAACAAAGAAAATGTTTTTAATGTGATTACAGGGGAAAAAAATATATTTCAACCAACAAAACAGAGAAAAGAAGGGTTAAAAATATTCACTTGCCTGATAAATTAAGCACTTCCCCAAATCCAATTGTTTTCCCTTTACCAAATAAAGATCACCAGAAAGAGCCAGCCAGCTGTACTCACGTGCAGAGCTGAGGGGTCTGGAAGGAATTCGGCATCCTCTCCAAAGATAAAATCAGGAGGCAGCTCTGGGTACTGGGCATTGAAAATTATATCCCCTGAAATAAAAAAAAGAAGGCCTTTATCATTTCTTTGCTAAAATATAAACGTTCTGGGTAATACATCAGAGAAGTCTAAAGTAAGTTCCTATGAGTTTAAGAAAAAAAAATGTAAAAAGTGCTTTTGAACAATTCTTTAAATAAAAGAACTGATAGTCTCTTATCATTCACAGCATGCAATCAAAAACGATTTGTCTCTGTAAATAACCAAATTTTGCTATAGAAGAAGTCACATGCAAAGTGCATGGTGAGTTTTTTTGTTTGTTTTCCAAAAATGTTATCCAATCACTACCTGCTAGAGACAGAACTGATGACTAATTGTGTAAAGACTTGGTCCTTGCCTTGCAGAAATTATACACTCAGTCCTGTAAAGTAATGGAAAGAACATGTGTCTTGGACTTAAAAAAAAAAAATTATGTCAACAAGTTGTCCCAAGGTAGATAAAAATAATATTGATGTCACAGATTTATTGTAAAAATAAGTCTACCAAGGTGTCCATAATATAGTACCATTTATAGGTGATATAATTATTTTAATCACTATTACTCTGAAACATTAGATACAAAACCTTAGGAAATTCATGTTTGCAAGTTCTTCTACCTCTTTGTTCCTTTTTTCAGTCTCCTTTTTTAAGATGTCTTTTTTCTCCTCTATTCATCCCAAAACTCAGTTCCCAATATTCTATTATAATAAGTGAGTAGATCAGTATATCCAAAATTTAATGAGATGTTGGTAAAAATTGTGTATATCTGTAATGTGGACACTTGTGCACATGCAAACAGTATGTAAACACATATACATATACGGCATTATACTAGCCCATTTTTATTCTTAAAATAACAGTTACTCAGTTGATAGGCAAATGTAAAAATTTAGGTACCAGAGAGCCTCACTGTCAAACTCAGAAGTATAATAATGAGCTCATCATTTTCCCTCTTCTGCTACCCTCCTTCCCACAGAAACCTTCTCTGTTTCTCCAGCTGGTACTTTTATTTCTTAAGCTCCCATGTAAAAATTTTGTATCATTGGGGATTTTACATACCCTCTTTATACTCTTAGAAAGCAAATCATCTAAATTTTTCCTCCAAAATGTTTATCACATGGATATTTCTGCTGCTGAAGATTTTATATAAGCTCATGCCAAATAGTCAATATATTCATACCTCCATTCACTAAGAGTTAAACTTTGTCATAGATACTATAAATAGTTGTTTTTAGGGGTCACTGAGTCAGCTCCAAGTCATAGTTACCCCAAGTACAACAGAACAAACCCCTGCCCGATCCTGTGCCATCCTCGGATTCTCTAGCGTGCTGAAGCTCACTGCCACGATCCTATGTCAGTTCAGTTCATTGAGGACCTTCCTCTCCTCCGATGGCCTTCTGCTTTTCCAAGGGTAGTGTCCTTTTTTCAAGGACTGGCTTCTCCCGAAAAAATCCCCAAAGTACGTGGGATGAAGTCTCACTATTCTTGCTAAGAAGGAGGACTCTGACTGCACTTCGTCTAAGACATTTATTTGTTCTGTTGGTAGTCCAGGGTATATTCAGTGTTCTTCACCAATACAACAAATAAAAGCCATCAACTTTTCCTTGGCCTTCCTAATTTACTGTCCAACTTCCACGTGTATATGAAACAAGTGAAAATACTATTGCCTAAATCAACTGTATCTTACTTTTTAAAGTGCCTATATAGCTCTAAAGCACTTGAAGAGCTTCTTAGCAACTGGTTTGCCAAACACAATACATCATTTGATTTCTTGACCACTGCTTCCATGGGTGTTGATTATGAATCCAAGTAAAAGAAAATCCTTGACAGTAATCTTTTCTCCATTTATCATGATGTTATTTAGAAAAAACTTTTAAAAGGATAAAACTTTTATTACTACTCCTTTCCCTAAAAGCTTGCTAACTCAAAAAATTCCAATGATTTGCTAGGATCAACTAGAATCCAGCTAACATTTTGAACAAACATTCAAAGTCTCCAAAATATTATGTTTCTCCCTTTTGATCCAGAGATCCCTAGTTAGAGCAAACAGTTAAGCACTTAGATACTAATCAAAAGACTGGCCAAATGAGAAAAAGACCAAGCAATTTGCTTCCCCATAATACTATAGCCTAGAAAAACCTATGTGGGAAGTTCTGCTTTGTCACACAGAGTCAATGAGTCAAAAATTACTTGATGCCAAAACTGCACCTACTTAATTCACCTTTTTCTCAGCCATTAGCCAATTTCAATCTTCTATTCAAGTCAACAAGATCATCTTACTGCCCTTCAGATACTATGTCATACAACTAATTACTCTCATGTTGCTCAGTGCTTGCCTACCCTTTTGGGTTTTGTTTCTTGCTTCATTCACATTGTATTTCATATGATCATTCCCACATATTGTGTCTTATAAAATTATTCACCATTGATTTATGCCCACTATTACTTAATCTTTTCAGATTCCCTCTGGATCTTACCAAATAAATTTACCATTCCAAATACACATGTCCATTGTCTTTTCTATTCCTTCACCCTCTCTCCCCACTCACCAAACTCATGATCAGTCCCTCTCCTCACTCTCCTTCCCCCTTTGGACTTTTGTATACATCTTACTAGCAACCCTTCTATTTTTACAATAATAATGACCTTAGGCAGTAATTTGTTCTTATGTGTCTGAGTTTATTCAATCAGCATAATCCTCTCTAGCTTCTCCCACGGTCAATAGTAGTTTTCAAAATTATTTCTCCTAAGCATTGCATAGTATTTCATCAAGTGAATGAACCACAATCTCTATTTGGACTGGATCCATGTGTTGTGAATAATGTTGCTAGGAGCATCGGTTTACAAATCTGTGTCTGAATTTTCTTTTCCTTGGGGTACAATCCTAGCAGTGAAGAGCTGGATCTTAAGGAATTTCTACATTTAGCTTTTTGAGGAAACACCAAACTGCATTCCAGAGTGGTTGCACCATTTTACATTCCAATCAACAGTGTATAAGAGTTCCAATCTCTCTACATCCTCTCCAATATTTATTACTTGCTAAACTTTGTCATTGCTACTGGGGTGAAATGGTATCTCAATGGGCTTTGATATGCATTTCTCATATGGTCAATGATCTTGAGAATTTCTTCATTTGTCTGTTAGTCATCCAAATGTCTTCCTCTGTGAAAAGTCTTTCCACGTCTCTTGACCATTTTGTTCAGGTTATCAGTCTTTTTCTTCTGTAAACCCAGTAGTATTCTGTACACTTTCATTATGAGACCCTTGTCTGATATGTCATTGCCAAATGTTTTTTACCAGTCAGTGGGGCTTTTTTTTTATCGACATTATCTTCTCCTGGTTGTGTATTTCTGGCTGTATTTGCCAGCCTCTATTTCAAAGGCTAGGCCAAGTTTGGTCCTATTTTGTCTCTTATAATCTTTATAATTTGAGGCTTTACCCTTAGATCCATCTTGAATTGATTTTTGTGTCTGGTATGACATATGAATCCTGCAACAGCTTTCTGCAGGTAGGTGTCCAGTTTTGTCAGCACTATTTTTAAAGATGTTGTAAATTACCAATTTGATTGATTTTGTTTCCTTGTCAAATACCAGTTGACTGCAAGTAGATGGGTTAATTTCTGGGTTCTCAATTCTGTTCCAGTGGGCTACCTGTCTGTCACTGCACCAGTACCATGCTGTTTTGATTATATGGCTGTATAGTAAGTTTTAACATCAAGGAGCACTATGACTTCCACTTCATTTTTGCTCTTCAGAAGTGCTTTGCTTCTTCTAGATATCTTTCCTTTCCAAATAAACTTCCCCATTGCCCATTACAACTCTTTGAAAAATTAGTATCTGTCTGTGACTGCACTGAACATGTAGATTGCTTTTAGTAGGATTATAATTTTTACTGTATTGAGTTTTTCTATTCATGAACAAAGAACATTTTTTCCGTTTAGTTACATCTCTTAGTGTTTCTTGAAGTAGTTAGATTTATTCCTAAGTATCTCAATTTGTGGTTGGCTATTAAAAGATGAATTGCATTGAGAAAGTCTACTGTCAGATACCTCTCCAAAGTACTGAAGAGCAATAATGTCAGTCTAGAGACTAAAGTGTGTCTGATACAGGCCATGGTCTTTGTAACCACTTGCTATGCATCAGAGAGCTGGACAACGTCTAGGGATGATAGAAGGAAAATTGATGTCTTTGAGCTGTGGTGTTGGAGAAGAGTATTGAATACATCATGGACTACTAAGAGAACAAACAGGTTTGTCCAGGAGAAGGTGAAACCAGGATGCTCCTTGGAGGCAAGGATTCTGAGGCTTCATGTGACATACTTTGGACATGCTGCAAGGTGGGACCAGTCCTTGGAAAGGGACATCATGCTTGAAAGGATGGAGGGACAGACCAGGAAAGGAAGACCTTTGGTGACATGGATTAATTCAGTGACTGGGTAATAGAGGTAGGTATGTAAGAGATAATGAGATTGGCATCAGATTCAGTAGGGTTTAGGGCTGTTGTACATAGGGTCGCTATGAGTCTCAGGAATCTTGATGGCACATAACACAATAACATTGTAAACAATGCCCTTAGCATCTTTCAATATTAAGACACAAAGCTTAAATTTTTTTTCAGTCCTTTCAACTTCAGATGTAGAATGACCTCTTCCCTTTTTATTCTCTAATTCCAGCTCTCTGCACATTCCATTATAATATTTTGTTTTGTCCTCCCAAGCTGTCCTTTGAAATTGTCCGTTCTACTCTTTCACTTTGACATGTTTTCCTTTAGACTGGCTTCCCGACACTCCAGTGCAATCTTTAGAGTCTCTTCTGATACCCTTTTCAATTTTTTTCTTTCTCCTCTATCTTTTTTAATTAATTTCAATGAACACTTAGATTTTGGATTTCCATTCATTCATTGTTTCACTTTTCTCCCTGCCCCCCCCCTTTTTGGAATGACCTTTGCTTTCTTCATAGATGATACTCTTTATATCAACGCACAATTCATCTGGTCTTCTATTATTGGTGTTCAATGAC